ACCAACGACTTTACGTGCCTTCTGAAGCACGGGGCTTATACCAACCGCCAACATCCTGACTCCGGGCAGCTATTGAGAATTTCTTGACGGAAAACTCAATAATTAATTTTTCGCCCGAGCCGGGACTGGACCCAGGATCCAGGTCCTCATGATCAGTAGTCGTGCCACTACAACCACTAGACCAACGAGGCAGTCAACTGTTATATAGCTGCAGCGTGGCTCTACATTGTATATAAGCTTACCTACGCTTTAATTCCCAGTACACACACCAGTAAAGTATACATAGTTAGTAATATAAAAGCCGAAAAGCCGGGCTTGCCTTATTAAAACTGAATCAATCAATAATATCAATCAATAATATCAACCAAAAGGTAACTCATAAACTGTTTCAAATTATTTCAATTTTCTCGCGCACTCCACTGTTCGACACATGTCGACCGATGACCTCGTATTGCCTTAGCGATACTCATAGAGTACCTTTGTATAAAGCGATACTGCTGCTGTCATAAAAAGTGAGTTTTAAAAGAGCGATTAGTTGTCTCCCTCCCTCGCGTGGGCTTTTTACGGGACTTTCGAGAAGACGATCGCTCTCTTTCTAACCTATGGCAAAATATTCTATAATTAAATATAACTACGAAATGTTTATATAACAATTACTATTGAGCCATAAGCCTGGCTTTGCCATGAAGTTGTTTAGGAGTGCATTAGCGACTAGCGAATGGGGTGCGGGCCATTCGTATGCAAGTTCACTTCACATTTCAATGTTTATGTTTGTTTTTGTTATGTTTGTTAAAAATTTATGCTTTTTCAAAGATTTTCGGTGAAAATGGGAGGATAATAGTGTTCATTGTGATAAATATAAGTGTGTTGAAGTGCTAATCGGCGAGGAAAAGGTAAGATGTTTAAAAATGATATTTAATATTTAATAAACATTTCTTCATACTTTAAATATAGGTACAGGACTCTTTAGTATTAAAGTTTAATTAAGGTAGGCGTATTTAAAGGTTTAATAACTCAATATTTATATTACCATACGAATTGAAAATATCAATTTGAACACCAGCATAAAATATGAGACACCTAGGTTTAATTTTATAGGAAATAAGTGTTACAATCTTTTTTTAACGTGAAGCCCAAATTTTAATGAAATAAATCAAAAGAATACAGAAGATGTATTGAGATTTTTAAACAATATTCCCTTTAGTTATTTCCAGTATATAAAATTTTAATAACGCCATCTACTTAATTCTATAGGTAAAGTAATTTTGAAAATTGGTTGATTCTCACGATGGTACCTAAAGATTACGCTAGATGGCACAAATACGCTATCGGCTAATTTATATTAAAATAATATGAGTTTAAAAATATCATTTTGTACGGTTTATTATGAATTGAAAATGAATAATTATATAATATATAGTCATTATTTTATGGTAAAAATTAGCATTATCTTCTCATTATAACTATCTAATTCTTGTCGTAATCTGTTCTTTTATACATATAACTTAAACAAAATAATTTCGAGGTTTAACATCTGCCAGGCGTCCCTTTTTTAACTTTGTACATAGTTTGTTTGTACTTTGTTCATGCTTTTCTTTTGTTCATGTATTGTATTGTTTGTAAATATCTCAAGCAAACCCAAACGGCTCTTTTCAAAATCACCGAAGGTGTGCAATTGCATTTTATGTCATACAATCTATCTAGCGGTAGTATGCTTTCCGTGTGCTTTGTTAAACACGTCCTTGACAGCACTGAATATGAAACTAAAGAGTGGAGACAGCTCAAAATTGGTGTAATTTTATTTAACTACTAAAAACAAAAAACAATATGTTGGGCTTGCCCTAGTTTGGAGCTTCGCCACTGGTTAGTATAGTTTAGAAGCTGCTTATATAAAAGTTAGGTATTCTTACGCGTGGATCGATTTCAAAAAAGTACCCATTAAATAACGTTCTTAAAAATTTGGTCCGTGAATGTTTATTAAAACAGCACTTAATGCTTAAATCGACTATGTTAAGAATACTCACGCCTGTCACCCAGAGGGGTAAACAGAGACTACGGACTTCCATGTTAAGAATATCAATTAATTAAAAAAAAATTTGAGTTCACCTTCTAATGTGTCATGTTTGTTATTTTTTCTGCACTGCTACATTTAGCTCATACTCTAATCACTTCAAGAGTTAACATAATCCAAAGTCAAAATTTTAAACATCAATGCCATCAAAAACATAACTTGTAAAAAAAACACGTCTCCTAACTCAGTTATACTACCGTAAAAAGTTGTGAGATTCATGTAATACCAAGTCGGTTAATTTATTCGGTCTCTACTTAAGGGTCCTTCTGTTTTAAGTTAATTCGTAATTAGCTAACCTAACAAAATCTTATTGTGACCATATCAATGTTAAAAATCTTCTATGTTTTAAATAAATAGATTAACTTGGCCATCGTATGAAAACACAATGTATCTCACAATTAATACAACATATTATATTAAATTGGATTGTTTAGTACCTTCTACTTCTTGAATACAATCTATCGATCTACACCTATTATAAATATTATACAGGTACACTGATTCATTCACTGCAAATGTAACTTTGTAATCCTATATATTTATATGGGATTACAAAGTTATTTATGCAGTGGTTTATCTAGAAAACTGGACCGAAATTGTTTAGTTTTTCCTTAATTTATACAATAAACACTAATTGTATTCTAAATTTGAAGCTTCTGTGTCTGCTACAAGTGCCTTAGAGTTTTGATGATCGGTCAGTCAGTCACTGAATGACAAAATTAAGAAACTTGGACTAGCTATAATTCTTAAACTACTTGTTCAAATTGAATGAAATTTGAAGTATACCATTTTTATACAATGCCTGCTTGGTTACTAAAAATTCGGGTTTTTAGTTTTATCCACAACGAAGTTATAGGAAGTCGAAAATGGCCTGAACTGCTTCGAGATAAGTATGGTACGACCGTGCCGCTTTTTTGCTCGACTTGGCGGGGTCACTGCTGAGCTCCCAGATCAAAACTTCTTAAGCAAAATACTATAAAGTTCAATAGTTGGCTTAATTTACAAAAATAACCTACAGCATTTATCATTAGATGCCTCCGTAGCACAGTGACTAAGCATTTGCTCGTAACGCTGCGAGGCTGCAGGTTTTAGTCCCGCACGGAACAAGTGTTCGTATGTATGTCCTACAAATGATTGTGAGGGCTTACTCCTGCAAATGCTTTTCGATTTAATTCGATTTTCGATTAAAAATGTCGTATTTCGTAACTAATTTTAAAAGCTTACTCGCGGAGCAGTTCAAGCCGACAAACACGATTGAATTACGAAAAAGCATGATCAGTGCCGTTAGGCATATCCGGATATTTCATTATCCGGAGATTTATTTTATTACATTCATATAAGGTAAAAAGCGTTCTTGACGCACACGATTACGAGCGCCATCTAGCAGTGGACAGCTAAATAATTTTGTTATAATAGTTCCAATTTGCACTACCATTCGATTGAGCGCTAGCTACGGTTTCGGGAGTTCGAAATTTAAAGGAATTCGAATAAAATTCGATTGATTAAGAACTCGATTCTGCCGGGAGTAGGCCGGCTGAATATATGTCCTGGTGGTTTTTTTTTGTTTTTGTATATATAAACTGCCTTTACGATAAAGAAGACACATTACATGCGGTACCTTCCTAAAAGGATTAATATAATATTAACGAATACAAATAGGCACTATCAAGCTGTTTCTACAATAGTTTGTGCAAATATAATGTAAATAAATTGTACAAAGATTTGTTAATAAAAGTTTTTTGAGATTTCTTCCCAGTGCAGAGATATTTCCCGTACCAAGTGGTGTTAGAAAATCCCCACACATATCGCGCCGTAGCTGTTGTTATAGGCGATGAAGGGAAACAAACCATGATATAGGCAGTAGCGTTTTCCTTACAACTAAAAAATAAAAGAACGCGGTTGCCAACTCTGCCAATTTAGTAAATATGGCAAATATAAGTAATAATAATAATAATATTTGCCAATAAAGAAGATCCTTCCTTCCTTAAGCTATTTTTGAGGATCTCCTTTATTAAGCCATTTTTGAGGAGGGCAATATTCAGCAACCGACTTTGCCAGGCTTTAATGAATAAATTAACTAATTCTTTTTCTAAAAATGACCAACACAGATTAAATAATTGACGCAAAATCATTAAAATTGACAATCTTCTAATTTTTTGAAGTCAGTTAATATGACCTTGCTGTCCAAAACTTATTCACGTAGCCGAAAAAGATCATTGTTGAAAACAAATTATCTCCAACAAAGGTGTTGACTCCAGGAATAATCTAATTGACCTATATTATATGCCGAGCGCCTGGATCAGGGGTCAGGAGGTGAACTTGCTATATGCGCTATTAACTGTCGCTTAATTGACACGGGTATTATTCAAGCGGAAGTTTAGAGGTCCGCATTAGTCACTTGATTTTGTATGCTATAAATATAGGCATTAAATTGAATTTTTAAGAAATAAGCATGTCGATTACGGCTTTTATAAAAATGTCCGCCGGACCAAAATTCAGTCACGGCAATCTATTAACGGAGACTGGTCAATAATCATCTGCACAGGAGAGGATTATAGTGCAGGAGTGAATGCGAAAGCACATGTGCACTCTTTATACCCTCGTTCTCACAGTCCGATGGGACGGTAATCGGACACGACCGAAAAGAGATCAGGCGCAGGAACAAAGGCTTTACGTGCTTTCTGAAGCACGGGAGTGAGACACCGCCAAGTTCGTGACTCTGGGCAGCTATTGAGAATTTCTTGACGGAAAAACTCAATAATTAATTTTTGGCCTGACCCGGGATTTGAACCCAGGACCTCATGATCAGCAGTCGCACTACTACAACCACTAGACCATCGAGGCAGTCAGATGTCATAATAGCATGTAAGTGAACCCCTAAGCTTAATATAAGCACTTCAATTTTATTTAATGATAAACTACCACTCACCTAACTTTAGGGTTGGCACCGAATCAAATGCTCTGCAATAATATGACGGCTTCATATACTCCACCTCCATTTCGTCCCACCACCCAGGCGGAACAGGCAGCATATCAGGATTTAATTCGACGTGAATTAATGCAGTTCTACCGTCCAAGTACAGCCTCTTCAGTTTTACAGATAGAATGATCTCCTTCGCCTTCCATTCCAAGCCTGGGTAAGAACTTTTAAATTGTTTGAGTAACTTTTCTGTGTCGTTGGTATACAACGACAGCTCGTCGTAATGTTTAGAGTACTTCGTCACATAGAATATGTACTCAGCTAGCTTCTTTACCCAAACCCTGTACATTTTTTCCAAATTCTCGAAATTGTATCTCCTTTTCATTCGTATTTTCGTCGCGTACATATTTATCATCGATTGCTTCTCTCTTATAAAGAGCACCTTATTAGAAGTCACCACTTCATAATTCACGGAATCTGTTTGGACGCACCAGTAGTATCCATCCATTATTGGTTTCAGTATAAACATATTACTGTCTTTCTCACGCTGCAAGTTAATTCGGGTCGGATAGTGTATAACGGAGTCAGAAAAGCAATGAATATCGCTTTCGTCTATTGAATCGTTGACTGACAAAGTCAATTTATTGTCTCTGAAAATAAATATTAAGATTAGGGTCTTATTTCTGATAATAAACGATTGACTAATCCATCCACAAACAAAATCCAACTACAAACGTACAAACTAAAAATCCTGAGTGAAAACACAGTGGTAGCTAAATACTCTGCTACTAGGTGATAATAGTATTTTGCAGCCTAGGAATCCGTTGGGGTTTCTTCTTAACAATATATATATATATATATAATTGAATATTGATTGGCACCGTAAAACAAATGCCAATATATTTTTAATTTCGAGTAGATTTTAAAACACTTCACAAATATAGTTCAAAACAATAACTTCTCGATTCTTGTAAATTTTAGTTTCAGTTTCTGTCCAGTAGTAAGCTTTTAGGGCCTTATTATCTACACTTGCGTCATTAAATAGCCATCGAACATCATCAAGGTTATTTTTTCTATCCTAGCCGACTGGCTATAAAGTAAATAATAAAAGAAAAATATTTTTAATATGAAAAAGCTTACATGTCAATCGTCACATTCAAGGTGATTTTCTTCCTCTGAATAGACCGCTCGCATATCACGTCGTAGAAGATATAGGAACTGTTGACGAGGTACCAGAAATTGTCATGCAGAGCACCCAGCAATGTATCCGAAGATAGCACGTTCTCTTCAAAATTCCATTCTGATTCAGGTATCTATTAAAACATCATCCAGGTATCTATTGACTTTGTTATATAGATATCCTACGCATAGAACTTAAACAAAAACTTGCAGATCTATAACAGCGGTCTTTATGCAAATAGTTTGACTCGTGATGATGTGCGTGATTTTTTATTAAAATGTTATATTTTAGGAATGGATCAACATAAAGAGAGTTAAAGGAGTAAAAAAAATAGGGGATGAAATGCATATTCCTTAGTCCCTTAAAAATTTCAACACAAAATTTAAACTTTTATTAAAAGTTAAAAGCTTCAAATAACAAAAGCAACAAAATTATTTTTTTGCTTAATAGCTTCTGAAGTCAAAAAAGTTTTTTTTCCTTCTCTTCTTAGAGTAATCTCTTTTATAGAAATCCTAACAACACGCACTGTACTGCTACACTGTACTGTAACCGCACTACAGCGGCGGACTTATCATTCCACTGACCCGCGCAGAAATAAAAGGACAAGGAACCCTGTGCACAGCCATTACAGTAATATGTACTACGTATTAGAACAGATACTTTGAGCCGTGTGGAAGGAGACACCAAGCACTTATGCTCCGTATAATTATTATAAAACTTCGCTTACAGGTAAGTTCGTTTAATCATAAATTTTATGGCACAGACTAAGTAAGTTTGAGCTCATCCATGTTACAAACGACCAAATCTCGGCGTCTTTTATAATACATTGTACATATTACTTCCATGTGTCCAGCAGTGAGACGTATAAAAGCTGAAACTTTACCTCAGAGTTATCATCTTCGGCATCATAACGCAACAGAGAGAAATCCGAGCTCATAATGATTCCCAATGGATATTTTCTATTGAAGCCGATGGCCTGAAACATTGGATTGTTGGCATGTCTCCATCCCTTATTTAAGATCGATCCTCCTCTTTTCTCACAAAGATCTTGAGCCTGTCTCCAAGTCGCTCGCACTGGACCACCAACTACTCCATTCAAGACACCAAGACAAGTTACGATTGGACTTGAGAACCTTTTAGAATCTTGTAAGTCTTCGCAACCATCATCAGACATATTATCTTGATAAGGTTTGACAAAACAATATCTGTAATGCCTCTCGCTGCATTTTGTCGCAGTAAAGTTACTCACTGGATCTATGACCAAGCACAGCTCTTCATCTAAGCCCAAATCAGGGTTATAGCTAACGTCGTAAGTGGAGTAAAACAAGGAACCGATCGAACTGGAGTAGGACCAGTCAATGAAAGGTCCTCCAGGATATGAGGACTTATATTCGGTCCACAATATTATATTAGGATCCGTTATGTTCAGGCTGTAATACAGCTTTGATGTATAAAGATTACCGGCACAGTCTTTAAATACATCTTTGAAGGCCTCTGGCCCTTTCCTTCTATAGCATATTGGATCTCCTTTCTGTTTCGTGACGGCTAACGTAAATCCTATAGGGCACACGAGTGCCTTGTTCTGTTTATGTCCATCCACCACAATTATGTTAATCCAAAATACAAAGACTATTGGAGCTGCCTTTATGACGGAAGACCACTGCAGGATCATCTGTAAAAGAAGAAATAGGTGATGAAAAGTAAAATATAAGCAATAAATTTTACTAAATACTAGTATTTTGTCTCAGTTTCACCTAGATGGATTCTATCAACTCTTTCACAGTCCCGTGTATTACATATAATACATTGCTATTGTCTTAATATTGTGTTTGAAAATCGGGCAGTATTTAAAGTAGTCACTAAGAATTTTTTATTTCATATATTTTTCCACTTAACAAAAAATCTCCAAGTTTTTCAGATAAATATGGATTTTTTTATAAAATAAAGATGACAAACGAGCACACAATCCACTTGTTGGTAAATTAATGTTGTGACCCATAGACCTACATTTATCCTATATTGAGATTAAAAATTCAGATACGTTGTCACCACAGAAATCTAAATAGTAAGGCAATAGAAGTCATAAAAGCGCGTGACCTTGTCGCCGCACATGTGATTCGTAGGCCACAAGCGCGCGAGGAGTGTTGTGTCGGTCACCAGTGATGTTTCGGGCGCAGAGGCGTAAAAATGGTGCTTAGAAGCATATACAACTGCGGGAATTCTTCCACAACTTGCAAATTTTCAAATAAGGGGATAACATTTCATAAATGAGTACTTTGTGTTTTAGTGTTTTAAATAATGTTGTTTTTAATGAAATATACTTAAATAAAGTTATTCACCTCCAGTACTTGTCTCCGAAAATGTAATTGTTTTCACATTTCAATATCCATAGATTCCTAAGCTAGTTCATGTCTACGAGTATGACAACTAAAAGCAGCGATGGATTTATAGTATGGGCAATAAACAATATTTTCGCGTACGTAAATTTCCAAGAACATGCCGCATGATGCCAGCGCGTGTCAGTGACATGACGCTACCATTTTGTATCGATAATTTATTATGTTTGGCTTACCTAGTTTTACCGAAATGGGAATATAATATGATTTTTCGTTAAATATTTATTTACATCTTCTCTACTTTTTTTCTTTCTAAATATTTTATACCTTTTACCGTTTATTAGCGATTATCCGTTTGTTTGTACTTTTAAATTACATGATAAATTTTTGTGCAGTTTTAATAAATTGTAAGGATAAGTAATTGTATTGTAAGGATAGTGGACTAAATTCGATCTGTAAGAAGCCGGGTAACTGAAAAATAAACAACAGAAAGTCAATTACAGATCTTTAAAACTAATAAAAATGATAAACATGTCACTCATACATATATATATTTGTTTGCTGTTTGTATAATGTTGTATTCATTTTATTTATATATTTGTTTATTTAATAAAATACAATTATTTCAGGTTTCCAAAAGATCCGGTTATTAAAGACAAATGGATATACTTATCCTTAACGTTTTATTATATCCCCTTTTCTCTAATTATAAAACGTCTAAAAGCTAAAGCTAAGACTAAAAGCGTCTATTACTGAGACACTTTCAGTTAATTAGTTATATCTTGGTGTGAGACTCCTGGACGATCAACGACGCTTAATAGAAAGTTATCGAACGCCCAAGTGAGAGTGAGCACGCAATGCCATTCTCTGTTTTTCGCACACGTTAATTATTGGACCGAGTGGCTACGCCTCCTGAGATTTTATAAATTATCCCTTAACGCAATAGTTTATAATTTAATATTTGTTCCATGAGTGCTAGAAATATGTGTATACGTAATTGTGTATTTATTATTTGTCTATGTGTGATAGCTACGTACTGGCGACACGCGTTCTGATATTAAAATACAGTAAAAGGCATTTCTAGTGCCTTATTGTTTAGATTTCTGTAGTTGTCACCCCTGATACGTAGCAACCTGAAAATTTAGCCGTAGTTGGTATTCACTTTGCTACAATTTCCAATAATTATGTCTTCTAAATTCGATGCTAAGACATAGCTTTAACGTGGTAGAGCCATGCTGCAGCTCAAAGATGTTTTATAGGTACAGATACCGTGTACGCGCGCCTAAAACGCTTCCATTTAAAAGGCACCAATATTGGCGTATTCGTTCGATCGTTCCGTCATTATGCCAGCGACGTTCACTGCGAACATACATCACGCACCAGTGTTTTTAATTTCGGAAAATGACTGTTAGTGCTGTGAAATCATGTAAAAATTACTCTTGGAAAAAAGAAAAAGATAAGAACATCACTTTTCATAAGTAAAATAATAAATAAATACAATTTTCTGGTGTATTTCTTGATAAAATAATACGAAAGCTGAATGTCAATACAAGTAATAATACTGTGCAATAATATTCGAGTGTTGCCTACCGTATGAAATATTTTTCCCTATTTTAATGTCATTAATAGATGTAAATCAACTGTTGACAACGGTTATTTATCCAAAGCAGCCGATACGCAACCGTTGTGAACCGGTTGTTTATCCGACTACAAACGAAAAAGGATGGTTATGATTTTACTGTGTGTGCGGTTGGCTAAGCTGAATCGCTTTTTGGAATGGTGCTCAAAAACTACTTGACCTATTTAAGAAATTCTTTCACCATTAGAATGCTATTATGACTGTGAAATGTAGGATGTATTTTGATATAGAGGGCACTACCATCAACGAATATGTTTTTTAGCTAAACTCGTACAGTTCTTGACCGATTTTGAAAATTCTTTTACCACTAGAATGTTACGTATAATTAAAGATGTCTAATGTAGGATGTATTTTATTATAGATGGCACTACTTTCTATGTATATGTTTTATTTGGCTTATCTCAAAAATTACTTGACTGATTTTGAAAATTCTTTTACCGTTACATTACTAATGAGAGCTTTAGTTGTGTGATTAAATTATATTATTATAATAATTATGTTATATTATTATTTGTTATATAATTATGTTATATTATTGTTTATTATATAATTATAATATAATGTTCAATTCACTTTCATGTCAAGGGCACTTATACACAATCAACATTGATTTTATATATTTTTTTATTTATTTACAGGTTTTACAGTACAAAATGTAGCCTTTAAACACACAATCTTTTATTGTCTTCCAGTGGCAGGATTTAAATGATTTTACGCAATGATTTGATGTGGTCATGAAACTGTATCGATATATGAAATTTAAAAAAAATAAACATTTGCTATCACTTGGCCGAAGTTTACACTTAACTAAACTTACTTTTGTACGTCATTTTACTTAAGATTAAAAATAATTAATGTCTTCGCGTCAATATTTTGGGTTTTAAGGTACGAAAGTGTAGTACTCTATATATATTCAATAACAATAGATTAGTTCAATATATGTTAGATACATAAATATCTAATGTGATTTTTGATTTATTTTTAACTGTTACATTAATTATATCTATTTTTTATTACTTATCTTCACTATTTTAGTGCGATTTTCGTACAGACCTACATAAAACACACATAACCACCCATATCCCTTGTGTGTGTATATCCCCATTTACATACGTACACAAATACATACGCCTCGCACACATATTTTACACTCAGTTATGTCAATATGAGTGAAATATAAAATCTCTCAAATTTTTGGGCAATCGATTCACACTATTATTACCGAAGTCACGCACACTAATGCAGGCATGGTACGTAAGATATGCGCGTCACGTGGTACTCACGCGCACGTGAATTAAAAACTGGCGTCACTGTGAACGGTGCGATGTGTTAGCAACACGGTATCTGTACCTATAAAACATCTTTGCTGCAGCTATATTAAGGTGAAGCGCATGAAGCGACGTTGTATTGACAGAGGGGTGATAACACATCTGCATTGTGGTTTTAATCGAGGCCAAACGTAATGTCTATGGACCGCAGTTTTTAGATATCTTCAGGTGCTATAGCTCTATATTGTGGTTGTAGCACAAATAGGTCAGCTCGACTGGGGTAGGACCACACTATCACGGAATACCAGCATGAATAGCGGCTTAATGCTGTTGTGTTTTGTATGTTCAGTGTAGAGAACCGGAAACCATTTTTACTGGAAAAGAGGCATTCCATCTCAGTCGGCAGGGGTGACAATGCATCTGTATTTGGATTCGTAACCGAGAATAAATATAGATATCTATAGGCCACTGCATCCACTTACCATTAGAGGGATTGTATGCTTAATTATCACTCATATTATATGGGAAGTTACTACATTCCTATTAGTTTTTGAAGTCAGCTTTCACTTTTAATTTAAAATGTTATTTTTATACCTACAAAGTAATATGCTTTTTTCGTGTAGCATATTACCGAATGTTTGGACGACGAGACTAATTGCGAATCAGAATAGAAAAGATATTTACCATGAATCGTAAACATAAAACACATAAATTAATGTTTGTGAAGCGAATTCTGTAGTTAGGATTGTAATGTAATCTGATTTAAACATATTTCTTTTTTATTCAAAAAATCAAACAATCACGTGAGTAAAGAACTAATTTTTATTATAAATTATTTAACTAGCTGTTTACCGCGACTTCGCCCGCGTAGAATTTATTACGATAAGATTTCATAGGTTTTAATTTTTTGCGCGGAACTTTAATTGGTTTCTAAAATAAAAGTAGGTTACTTCTTATAACATCATCTATCTGATGATTTATTATATTTACGCGAACATTTTTACCACACATAAACACATTTAAATTACCCCGCGGTTACCCACAGATTAAAAATTCAATCTGTGAGTAGCCGCGGTAACTATTACATCAGGACGTTGAACATCTCAGTCCCCCCCGTGACCATAGGTGCTGTAAAGTGCTCGAAACATTGGAAATACAAAAAAGTTAATATACGCGATAAAATCAATAACTAGTATTATTTAAAAAAAACTAGTATTATTTAAATCATCTATCTGCCCGTAAAATTCCCGTCAATATCGGTCATATCCATCCATATTTTACAAACGTCAATAAAACAATAAATTTTGTAGGCATCTTTGACCTTGTCAATTCGCAGGGTTACAGGCTAGGGCGGATATGATTTAAATTTCGATAGATTTAATTAATTTATTAACTTAATTAAAATGTATAGTTTCTACAGGTTGTCCTG